TACAATCCTGTGCACATCATTATTAGAGTTCGCCTCGAACGGCTCACAGTCGAAATATCTGCGAAATTATAAAGAATTCGTCAGAGAGACGAATGTGCAACAGAATCTTTAAGATCATCCGTGCAGTTAATTTGAGATAGCTTTGTTCCACATCGTGCCAGGACGGCGGTCAAGGTCATATTATCCTGTGCCATCCGTGTGCGATAAGAAGTGCGGAACCCAGTGACTGCTGAACCAAAGCGACCTGATTCATTATTTTGTTTACCAAATCTGCAGCGGATGTTACATCTGACATGCCATGACGTGATCCACCGTGCTCATATGCTACGCGCTACACTTAGATCACAATGAATTACATCTGGCATGTCGGGTCCGTGACAATAATTTTCTCAAAATCTGAGACTTTGGCCGGTTCAAGCGAACCCGGTATATTATCCGTTAACGGCACGTCAGCGAGTCATCAAGGTCCGGAACAAACAGTAAATGGCGGCAGCAAGCGACAGCCATGTGCGAGTTGGTGCGGTGTTCTCGGCCACCAAGAGGAAGCAGTGCAGTATTAATGCGTCATTTGACCTGCATAATTACTTGGTCAATTTCAGCTTCGCAGATCTGCATTCGCGTCAGCATTTATGTCAACCTGCTGCGGGTAGTGCACTGTCTGGCTGTCCTATCTCGTACCGGTAACTTCATAACCGAAAAGCGGCATTGCTGACCTGCTTCTCCGCGGTGCTCTTTGCCCATATGATCGAGAAGCCTGAATGTCTTCTAGACACTACTATTTCCTTTGAGTATCTGAAGCACGATTGTCACGTAGACCCCATGAAACAAATCCTCTGGAGCATTTCAATTTTGCTCTACATTCGCTGATGTTGTTGTTCATCACCGTTTTCGGAGACGGCGAAAAAAGTGTTTCGAGGGTACGGCTTCCACAAAAACGATAACTCGGTAGCACCGTCTAGTCGGGTAACCGAAATGCGTTTTATTTCTAGTTTTCGAAATTTTTGAGATGTCGGGACGTCATTCTGATGGGAGTGGCTGTGCGATGTGCATAAGTAATGCACTCGTCTGCAGCCCGTAACGGTCTGTACTGCACAGTATACGCAGAGTGTACAATACACTGTTAATTTATTTTGCGAAATTACCTAGTAAAATTTATATACATTGATTAACAAATTTTCGTCAATTTGGTTGGGATTTTTATTGAATAATGAACATTAGTATGCAGCTGAAAAGCATTTCCTGGTCATGTTTTTACTGCTGCTACTTAGAATCTCAGTACAGAAAGCTTAATGATCAATTACAAATTCACAATCTGAAATTGTGTTTGTACACGGTGCGCCAAAGTACAGAGTATATTATACATATATACATAATCTTAACAACAATATCACCAGCAATTGTCTGAAAGCGGAATAATGGTAATGCTATTTGAAAAAATCGTTCTGCAAGCTCGTGTTATTTATGTATTATAGTAGGAAATGATTAAGTAATGTGGCAGTTCACAGTATGTACGGTAGATGCAGGATGACCGGAAATGAATCGCAACTAGCTAAAGAGACCTAACGTTAACTAGCTGATTGGCTGAGAAAGGGCGGCACTCATTAAACCAAACCTTTCGGTATACGCAAATATTCCACTACTAATCCGAATCAATTTTGGTATTTTACAAATGCCTTCGGCTTTATTTCCAAGTCACCAGTTTCCTACACGAGCCATATACATCCAAGATACGGCCATGCGGCTTTGTGTCGAATTTACTGTAATGCTTGACCACTGTCCAGCTGCTTGTCCCCTTATACGAAATTAAAAGCCTATAAATGTACAGTATCCCAGCATTGCTACAGGCGTGCAGTAGCGTATTAAACCCGGAAAATAACAAAACGAAACTCCATCTAATTTATAATATTAGCAACGATTAAAAAGGTTTACTAGTATGAATGATTTCCGCAAGGATATGTGCTGAATAGGATTGAGCGCTGACTTGCTAATGTTGGTTAGCAATAGCATGGCCATGAGCAAGGGTAGCTGAAAAAAGGCGGATATTGTAGATGGTTTGGGCTAATGCCACTACGCCGCACTACGTACAATTAAAACATTAAAGTCGCACTACAGCACACTCCATAATTGGGCAAATGGTACTACATTTGAACCATTTGGCTGTCTTTCATTTTTACTGCAGTTGTCTGTTGGCACTACAAGTAATCAATTGTCTTCCGATCGAACATGCAACAATACGCTAAACAAATAAAGCAATACGTACTACTTCCTAACTTAATTTTGAAGCAGTACTAGTAGTGTCTGGTTATTGCCGTGATAATTATGCCTGATAAAGTATGCTGAAATACGCTACAGATACTAACAGGTTCAATATTGATTTTGAAATTACTAATTAAAATGATGCGTTTGTCATTATATATCTCTGATATCGACGCTTAGAAATAAGTAAATCAGGCCTAATCTTTAACAGTGTTTTAGGGCAATATTTTGAATGCGAAGCGGCAAGTGGCACGTAAGAAGAGCCCAATAATACGAAAATTATTTTTACATATGCTTATATTTTATGTTGGTAACATACCAGATGGCTCGTATGGTCCCACTCTAGCACCGTCCGGTTTTGCGACAGATAACCCACACCATCAGCAGTATCAGTGCCAAAACGCCCGCAACCACGGCTCCAACGACAATGACCACAATGTTTCCTGCTGTGTTGGCGCTTTCGACTTTCACCTGCACTATTGCGGTTGCCGCGACAGTTACATCACTGGTCGGATTCGTGACTACACGTGATGTTGACTTCCTTGTCTCCGTGTGCAGGTGTTACCATAATGCTGGCGTGTGATATTGCCCTCCTATCCAACTGTTTGCTCCTACACAGGAAATGTTCCGTTTGTTTAGGTGTTCTGGTATCAGTTTTTTAGAGTTTGGCCCGATGCATAACAAATTCGTGTACACCGACGGGAACTTTCGCTGTCGCGCACTCCCAAACACTTTTTGCATTGCATTATGGTATTTTGTAGGCAAAAGAATTGTGTACGTAGTTGTGAAATCCGTTTGCGCGCAACATTCAGTTGCGGAGTTATGAGGTATAAAATTCAAAAGTTTAAATGCATTGGTGTAAAAGTCTCATTATGGACGATCCTTTCAAATTTTGCACGTAAATACATAACGATGAAGATTGTTTATTACGGATCCAGACTTCTACGATTTTTTCGAATTTTAAAATGAATTTTAAAATTTTAAAATTCATTTTAAAATTCGAAAAAATCATGAAAGTCTGGATCCGTACCAAAACAATCTTCATGGTAATGCGCATTTATGTGCAAAATTTGAAAGGATCCTAATAGACTTTGGTACACCTGAATGCATTACTTTTTGAATATTCTAACAGCCATAACTCCCGGACCGGATGTTGCGCGCACAAACGGATTTCACGCCTATGTACAAATCTTTTGGCTACAAACTACCATACAGCAATGCAAAAAAGTGTTGGAAATGCGCGACAGCGAAAGTTCCATGTACGAATTTGGTGCTATACCGGCCAAATCCATAAATGCAGTAAGTATACCCTTTTCTGCAGTCGGTGTGGTTGTGAACTCCCCGTCCCCTCAAAGGATGTATGGACCAGGTGAATTTTATCAGTGGGTTGTTCTTTCCGGCATGACAGTAAGCTGCGAAGGTTTCGTTTGGTGGAGAGACTGATGGTGCTGTTACTAACACGGATGCTTTCTCGGGGCCATCTACAAAAAAAAGAAGGCATTATTTAATATAGTAGTTATCTGTACTTTTTAAGATCCGAGCGCGGCGCTCATTATTTGCTCATAGAACAGGTTCGCTTTACGGTAATACAGGTTGACACCGCACTGGACCAAAAAATGCTTAACATGCATGACAATATGGTTACACAAAAACTACTCGTACTACGTGCATGACAATATGGTTACACAAAAACTACTCGTGTCTATGACTACTCGTACTTAACGATATGGTTACATAAAAATTCTAGATTTACAGAATTTTAACTTTAAGTACATAACACAGTACTCGAACTGCAAGTGCAAAAACTCTTAGTGGAATGATTTTGTTTAAGGACTAATTTGATTTATTGCTTTATTCAGTGGACAAAGGCAGCTCAAACAATCTTATAACATCTTACACCGTATGTACCAAGTAAGAGATAACCTTAAATATTTTCACTATTAGTTTTGAAAATTTGTTTCTTGCTTCATGTTTAAAATTAGATGATATTGTATTCTACGAAGTACAGAATTAAGTACGTAAGGTACATTCATACACACGCACATATTACGCGGAGTGGCAGTTTGGCGGATGAATTGCTCATTTCTCCGTAGATTCTGTTGATGCTTTTACATTCGACAAGGGCAGTGTTATTATCTCGGTGGGGAACGAACTGGTAAGCCACATTTAGCGGTTTGTTATCCGGGCCGCTGAATGATTCGGCAACCATCGCTTTGCCGATATACAAAGCAGCTTGGACGTGTGCTTTGCGTCCACGGAGTCCATGCACACAACAGTCGAAAGTTGACCACTATGCACCTGAATGCGCTGGTTCGTGACATTCGAGTCGGAAAACTTTGGCGTTCCTGCAACAGCCAATCAGGATCACAAACAAGTAAAAGGCAGGATGCGCATGATATACAGTTACGAGATACATACATATCTGCATGTACTTTATAATTATGTGTCTGTACGTCTACATATATCCGTTAATGTACGAAGCCGGCAACAAGCTAGTGTTCAATTTGGGCTACTAAAAAATAGTAATACAGATGAATTTTAAAAATTTAATGTCGATAAAAATATCCTTGACCTTTCAGTCAATAAGTAAAATCATAACCAGCATTACTCAGTGTTCACTTATTCTCGCCCATACAGATGACCTTCGCCAACGCGCCTTTGAATCTCATTGTATTTGTAACGATTCTCACTTACGCACCATATGTTACCAGTTTGATGGCTCTGACTGTTGCGCGTGGCCACCATCACCGAACACCAAGTTCGGCGCAACCAGTTGCACTGCATGCCATCAGAGGGGCGCTCTTTACGGCAGGATAATAAACGACGGCTTTCTTTACATCCGCAGGTACATTGTCGTTTTCGATTATGCATTTCCTGTCTGTATAATGCAGATATTTATTAAACAACTACTCAGTATTTCTTCGACAAAATTCTCAGTAACACTCCCTACTCTTGCAGGTCGTTGCATTCAGCTCTGTTCCGTTATGGAACCAACTCAAGTGGGCGTTTTTCGGGACATACTTGATCGCACAGGTGTACGTCACACCCGTTGTTCTGTCAGGAACGTAGGTGGTCTCGCCAGTAACATCTTGCTGGTTTACTTTTATTTCTAGAAATGCAAGCAATAATAACGCAATTTGTCGACCAGTAATAAAGCCATTACTTACCGAATTGGCTAACTTTAAAGGTTACCGTGTTTTCGACAAGCCCCGCCCCACTCTGCACCTGGCACATAACGCTGCCTTGATCTTCGACCTGGACGTGTGCGATAGTGAAGGTGGACGTCCCTGGTTCTGTTGTCACATTGTATCGCGTTTTCTTGTCCTGCGTCGTGTCCATAATTTTGGCCATGTTATGCAGCCAGGACACCGTCTTATTTGTAGCGTCCGGGTGTTTGCACGTGAAGACAGCGGAAAAATTGGCAGGAACATTGTGCGCCTCGAGTGACGGCTTTGTTGCTTCCTTGGTCCCTGGACAAAATGTCGTAAATTAGCAAGACTAATTAAACTAACTTATTAACTTTATTATGAGACTCATGCAAAAAGTTCATGCAGGAAATCCCCTTACCAGACGGTATGTTATCGGACGGCAGTAAATCGCTTTTGGCCTGTACTCGCTGGCAAAGCCCGATGGCTGTGGCACTGGCAATCCACATCCAGAGCGTCCTCATTTTTTCCGTAGGTGTATGGCCTACACGTATAAATTAAGAGCAAATATGTACGAGCGGAACACAGACACTGACTATTTAGTGGAATTTGGAGGGCATTTTACCAAAGTGTAATACCTATGTAGAAAAATTATGAAAATTAGGCTAATAATGTGAGCCAGTGAAAATGACATGCTAAATGTATGTAGAACACATTTAAATTTAATACTTACTTACATTTAACACACTTAAATTAATACGCACAACTAAAATAAAAGCACTTAAATACTGTGAATACGCACAACGCAAGTAAAATGAGCAATACCCGCGTGCATGCGGGTTTTGTAATGCACTGTGCACAGAATATTTCAGACGAGAGAAAGCATGGGGCTCTATGGGTGGAATCGAAGTTTCTTTTATTTTAACGTTTTTCAGAGATTGGAATGTCAGGCAGATAGTAAAACGTAGAGAATTTTTTCTACATTTAGATGCAGAATCGATCAAGCAAAACTTTCTGAAATAGTTTCAGAAAGCATTAAACGAAAAAGTCTTGTACTGTATTGCTGCACTGAACTGCCAAACGAGGGTGTTCGCAAGGTGGTTCAGCAGTTGGAATTTTTCGGTAAAACTCTTTTTGCATTGCTCAGCTTATATTTTCCTGGACAAGTTATATACTGAATTGTAGAGAATTAAATTTTCCTCAATTTATTATGCAGCTAACGGCTGATATAGCTCAAGAAAACGTTAGACAAGCGTAAAAGACTAGAGCTCCTGTACAGACACGGTTAAGGGTCACTGTTTTCGAGCTATTCCCGTTTTCCCAAACCCACTTTTTATTGCTAGTGATCCCCTTAAGGCTTATTAGAATATACGAGTTAACATAACACGATAAATTTTTATTGCGACAACTTGATAACCGTATGGCGTATTTGTAGTTTTTTGCCCGTTCTGAAGGTAACAGCATTAACAGTCACCATGCATAAAAAGAGCAACAGCAATAAACATTACGAAAAGAAAATCGCTAAGCTGCCAATTATTTCAAAAAAAAAATTAAAATACTTGTAGAATTATTTGCCAGATATTGCATAAATGAAATATTTATATCTGCATATAATTTTTTATACTGATGATAAGACCGATAGCACGCAGATGAAATAGCCACATTATTAATTATAACAAAGTCACAGTTTTCCACTTACAGGTGCGGTATGAGTGTGATGTGTCCTTCCGAAAGAAGGACTATAGTCCGAAACAAGGAAGAAAACGAATCACACCGATACACTGACACCACACAAGTGCAATAGCCGTAAATTTACACGCTGAACCCGTGGGAACCGTATAATAAAAAACTGGAGGAGCTGGTCGTTTAATTATCACAATACTGCAGCATGGATTCTGGACAAAAACAGGCCTAAAATCAACGGCTGATCAACGAAAAACTTCTGCAGCAACCACTAACTACTCTTGTCAGGCTAATACGCAGTGTTCAAATACATGATAAAACGCTGCAAAATTCGAATACGCCTTTTGTACTCTCACACCTCTTGTTCCATCAAGGGTTCAGGAATGTTTTCCAGCATGCTCGCCAAGACTTGTTTCGCAGCGACGTTCTTACCGTCGCACGAGATTCGAATTCAGACGCTATTGCAGTTTTACCAATTTACATGTAAAGTTTGATTTTCTTTTCCGTGACATTCAGTGCAGTGCTGCGTTTTGTCGCGCAAGCAAACAGTTTCTGCAGTACGGAAAACCGCGGTTTGCGACGATATCGCCGCAACGTTAAAATTAAAGTGATGTTCAGTTATTAACTAACGTTTAATATCATGTAGAGGTACCGGTATCTTTACGTATTCAAATAAAATGCTTGCATCTGAATTTGATGCTACCACTAAAGTAATTATTAATTTAGTGATAACATCACAGTTCTGATGCGCAGATGAATACGAATACGAACAGTTGCCGGTACTTCATAATGTTTTTCAGTGTGCTAGCAACAAAGAAGAAACGGAACCTGGCTGGCTTTGATAAAACGCTGACAGCCGAAATGGCTACGGGAAAATCAGGAGACCTATTACACTAAACTGTCTGACTTACGATGAAATCATTGCTTAGTATTGCATATGGATGATGGAATAATAATATAAGAGTCGTACCGTAGTAATAAACGGTATAAGAAAACAGTACAAGTTGTAAACGGTACATGTACCGTTTACTTTTATATAATAATTCATATACATGTACCATCTACTCGCTTACTGTCGCGTTTAATGAAGAAGTTATGACTTTTATTATTATTCCCATTCCTTTTTTATTATTTTATTATTATACTTTTATTATTATTATTCTTTTTTTTAATATTATACCTTTTATTATTCCTTTTATAATTATGTAAAAGTTAAACTCATCTGAAGACTTGTTGTAATGATGTCGCTGTGCTTTGAGAGAATTCCACCAGTACATTTTCATTCAATACGGCACTAATTAAAGTCTTTCGGTTTTTGTTACTGTAAGTACGATCAACAACGTACGACGCTATCAACCGTTATACGATTGGGAAGTGCGAATGTCTACGTAACTGCACGCACAAAACAGCAAGTTCTACGCTTCTCTAAATTTTGTAAACCGCTTCATATGTATTAATTCGGCGATTAAAAATAATATGGATAAACGTCTGTAGTCATCAAACTGCTTTCGGCTTTATTTCAAGCTTTAATATCATTGGTTGAGCAAGTCACTGCAGCATTCTGGATGTCTGAAAACCATCAGTCGGGCCGTCGGCATTACCCATTTTCTTAATTGCAGTATTCCACACACCATATACAGTGTTATACGTCCATGCGGCATTCTGTCGAAATGATCGGTGCTCATCCCGCGTATACGAAAAATGTACGCAGATTAACCAGAAAAGAGCAACAACAAAACTGCATAAGTAATGATACAATATTAACGGTAATTAAAAAGTGTACGAGTATGCATGAGTAAATTTGCAACAATCTGCGCTGCATGACTGATCGCCGGTTGGTTAGTGCAGGTTAGCACGGCTGCTCCAACAAGGGAAACTGTAAGAAAAATGGCGAACACTGTAAATTCACTGTCCTCATACCTGTGCTTACAAATATTTGAAACAACGTGTATTCCAAACAGTGTTTTGCGACAATTTTAGAATGCGAGGTAGCAAGCAGTACATAAGAGTGTGGTATTAAGTAAAACTGTTTTTATACGCGTTTACATTAGTGACGTACCAGTTGGCTCGCATGGTCGCATTCGGGCGCAGTCCGGCTTTGCGATAGATGACCCACACCACCACCAGTATCACTACCAAAATGCCCGCAATCACTGATCCAACAACAATGGCGACAATGTTTTTTCCCGATTTGGCGCTTTGGGCTTTCGCATTCACTACTGCGGTGGCTGCAACGGTTACCCCGCTGACCGGATTCGTGACAACGCAGGTGACGTTGACCTGAGTGTCGGCGTAGGTGGGTGTTACCAAAATGTTGGCGAACGATATTGTCTCCCCTGTCCAACTGTTGGGTCCTACGCAAGTAAATGTTCGGTTTTGTAGCCAGATCTTCGGTTTAATTTTTTTAGGCGCAATAACCATACCATTTTTACAATCCGTGTGGTTGACGGAACTGCTCCATCCCTCCTAGGATCTACTGTCCAGGTAAACGTTATCATCGGATTGTTTTTTCCAGCATGGCAGCGGGCTTCGAAAGTTTCGCTGGGGAAAAGACTGATGGCGCTGTCAGTATCACGGATGCGTTCTCGGGGCCGTCTGCAAAAAAAGGATATCTGATGCCTTTATCAGCCCCATTATCTGTGCATTATCTGTTCGAACAGGTGCGCTTTACTGTGATTTACATCAGTTAACACTGAACAGCGCACGGAACGACGTGCATTTTCTGACAAATTTTGTTTTCAGAATTTTTACATTTAAGCGCATTAAGCTGTACTGGAATTATACTGTAAGTGCAACGATTTAAAGTAGAATGATTTGGCTTCTAATACAATTTTAACTTATTGTCTGAGACAGCGGCAGATGTCTGTCTGTGCACTTCACAGTTGACAGAAGTGGTAAGTTGATCCAAAACATGTAGAAAATAAAATGTAGCTATAAATATTCTCGATTTTAGTTATCGAAATGATATGTTTTGTTTCAGAATTACAGGATTTTGTATTCTACTTAGAACTGTACTGGAAAATATAAACAAGAAGTACATAATGTATATACGTACATACGGTACATAAACAGAACACATGCATGACACGTACATATTACGCGGAGTGGTAGTTGGGCGGACGAATTTTCATTTCTCCGTGAATTCTGTTAATGCTTTTACACTCGAACAGGGCGTTGTGGTTTTCTCGGTCAGGAGAGAACTGGTAAATCACATTAAGCGGTTCGTTATCCGTGCCGCTGACCAATTCGACAACCTTTGTGTTGTTGAGGTACAAAAGCAGTTTGGACGTGTGGCTTGCAAGGAGTCTGTGCACACTAAACGTGACGGTTGACCGCTTTCCACCTGAATGTAATTCTCTGCAATTGTGACATTCGTTCCGGTAAATTTCGGCTTTCCTGCAACAGCCAGTAATGACTCAAATAAAAGTCAGGATATGCATAATATACTGTAGAGTATGGTATAAAACCAACTGATTTAACAAGATATTAAAACTAATTCTAAATTCGCTTGAACGGGGCAGACACTGGGCTAGCGTTCAATTAGGTGCCATCGTTGGCATAATTTATCATGTAGAAAATACTGTCGAATGTTTCAGTCACGCATGCAGCCAGCGTTTAGTCAATCTCGCTAATATTCAAGGGCGATTTTCACCAATACGTAATTGAAATGTGCTCAAAATAATACTGTATTTACATTAATTTAAGATCACTTGCGTACCATATGGTATTAGTTTGATGACTCCCGATAGTAGCGCTTTGTCACCAATACCGTCCGGCGACGATGTGCTGACCAGTCTACACTGCAGCTCGTCGTAAAGGACGTCTTCTATGGCAGCGTAAAGAACGGTGGCTTCCTTAACATCCGCAGTTGCAGCGCCGTTTTGGATTTCGCAGTTTTTGTCTGTATATGTAGTGAGAATATTAATGAACAATGTATTATGTAGTGTGAATATTGTTAAACAACAACTAATATATATCCAACAACAAATATATAAATATTATTCATAAAATAATCCTACCGTAGGTACTAGTAGTAGAATCTCACCTTTGCAGGTTGTCGCGGTCAGCTCGGTTTCCTTATCAAACCAGCTCAGTTTGGCATCTTTCGGTGCATACCGGATAGCACAGCTGTACGTCACGTTGATTGTTCCGTCAGGGATGTAGGCGGTGTCGCCTGCGACATTTTGCTGATTTACTTTTATCGCTGCAAATCAGGCAATAATAATAACTTTGTTTTCCCAGCAGTAATAAAAATGTCTGACTTACAGAGTTCGCTAACGTTAAATGCCACCGTGTCTTCGACAGTCCCTGCCCCACTCTGCACCTGGCATGTAACATTGCCTTGATCTTTGACCTGGACGCGTGCGATAGTGAGGGTGGACGTTCCTGGCTCCGTTTTCACGTCGTATTGCGTATTCTTGTCATCCATCGCGTCCATAACCTTGGCCTTGTTATGCTGCCAGGACACCTTTTCCTTTGTAATATCCTTGTGCTTGCACGTGAAAACCGCGGAAAAATTGGCAGGAACCGGGCGAGTCTCGACTAATGGTTTTACTGCTTCCTTAGTTCCTAGATTCGACCCAGCAAAATGTTGTGAGTTAGCAAAGGTTTAATACTCGTACAATACAAAACGTCCGTGCAAAGGCTTCTTCTTACCAGGTGGCAGTGGATCACTTTTTTGCCTGTACTGGCTGGCACAAGGCGATCGCTATGGCACCGGCAATCCAAACGAAGTGTGTCCACATTTTCAGAAGCTGTATATCCTTACCCTACAAGCACGAAGTGCGAGTGGAAGTGGCATTAATTTTGATATTTAATTTACTTATGTTAATTGCGTCTCACAATAATAGGATCATCATATTAAAGCAACAATTAGACAGTATTTCGCGTGTATGCAGTCCTACGATCAGGACATCTAACGCATGGGAAAATCTGCAAAATTTTCTACTAGCTGAAGCACCTGTGTAAGTAATTATAACTCTACAGAGTGTATAATCATGGTTCTGATCACCAGGCGCATGTGATGAAATCGGCATTCTGATGACACCACATGGAACTTGCAATCCGTGACCTGTAGTTCTTTACCAACCGATGAACACGTTTCGGTTCTTCTCGAATCGACACCGACTCTGACGAGTGCGTTGGGCGTACTAGTTATATTGTATACCGTATCTCACTTACATTTTCGTTAAAATCCGTAAAACAAGAGTTTAAAATTACAAGATACCATTTCATGTCAGGATCAATTTCCATAACGCATCGTTTATTTCTTATCCGGTCTTTAGAATCTGATGATGATATTAGTAATTAACATGCAGTTTTATGAAAAGAGCATCGGCTTAATACGTATTAGTTGTACCGTTGTACGAAAACAAAACTGAAAAGTTGGCAATTACTCTGTAATTCGGGAAAATTACAAAACTTTTTAAATAGTACTCGAGAGTATTTTGCAATTATCGCAGCGCCCTCGATAACCTTGATACACAATTATAAAATATAACAGTGAACGTTCAAATGTAATAAAATGAAAATACCCAGTGGATGATTTGTCAGCTTGCAGAAATCAAAATTATAATGATATCGGCACCTAATGCTTTATACTAAAACCGACAGCACTCAGATAAAACAGCCTTGTAAGTAATTTTCTCCACTTACTGACTTATAATTGTAGTAACGGGTGACTGTGATGCCCTCCAAAAACAAAAAACAAAAAACAATATGAGGAAAGCGGATCACAAAGATCGTAAGGAGGTTTACACGCTGAACCAGTGCTGGGAAACGGGGAATCGCGTAAATCAAAACTGGCAGAGTTGGCCGTTTAATTGTCACAATACTGTAGTATGAAGTCTGGACAAAACTAAGCAGAAAACTAACGGTTGATAAACGGCAGTAATCATCAGTGACAACTATCTTTGCAGCTCAACTGCCTCAACACGCTGGTAAAACGCTGCAAAATTCGAATGTGCCCTTTTCTGCTTCCAGACCTATTGTTCCATCGAGGGTTCAGGAATGTTCTCCCGCATGCGCGCCAAGGCGTTTTTGCAGCGTTCTTATCGTCGAACGAAATTCGAATTCAGACGCTGATGTACTTTTATAAATTGGTCTGTAAAGTTCGATTTTGTTTTCCATGACATTTCAATGCACTGCTACGTTTTGTCGCGCATGAAAACAGTTTTGCAGTACGGTAAACCGTGGTTTGCGATGGTAATGCCGCAATGTTGAAATTAAAGTGATCTTCAGATTTTAACTAACGTTGAATGTTATACACCCTGTCCACGCCAAGTTGGCGGCATGGCATTTTATTTTTCTGCTGAATCGTGTTGCGTGTTAATATCCCCTATTTTAAAAGTTTACAGTGCAGTTTTTTCTTGCGCATTTTCTGAGTGTAAATTCACTCGACTTTTTGTTGCGGTGTCGCGACCAGCACCTTCCGAAGCGAAGGCATCGATTGCACGATGCATGGCAGCGTTTAAAACGAATATAATTCACCCAGAAATTCAGGAACAACTTTAGGCGCTTGAGATTAGGGATACTTTGAGAACAATTGAGAGGCTGTTTCGTGAGAAAAAACTGAAATTCGTTTGCTGGACCAAACCCGCAAAACGCCACGGGGAGCAAAATCGTTTTTACTTCAAAACAAAGCTCTGCCCGAAAACAATTTAAGTGGCCATTGGGATTTCTCAGTCTCCAAGGTCGCGCTCTTAATTTGCGAACGGTGATGCAAAAGTTGACGCCCATTTCCTCCTTGACTGTATTTTGCAAAGCATGGTCAAAAGGACTTCCACGGCTGCACGGTGACCTCATGAAGGAGACCGCTCTACATTTTGACCACGCCCACCGCTAAACCGCTGACCCAGGAGGGACTTTAAGTCAAGTCTCTCAACTGCACTCTGAAGGACCACTGGGTGGGTAACTTACCCAAATTGAAGCCGGTGGACTAAAGCATTCCTGGGAATTTAAAAATAAATTTTTGAATAATGGGAAGGCAGCCACGGTAGCTAAACTGCATCGCATTGTCAACGGAGGCTGCTCTAGTTTTGATCTTCTTGTGATTCGTCACACGCTCCAATCTTAGATACCCTGTGTTTAAAGATGTGGGATACATTGGGTGATACCGTAGAAGTTGAAAAAATTTTAAGTTTTGACCGTGGGTTAACAGAATTTTTAAAGGAAAGCTCCAACTTGGCGTGGACAGGGTGTATATGTACCTAGAGGTACCGATATCTGCACGTATTCGTATACAGTAGAATGCTGCGCATCTGAACTTGATGTTACCACTAAATTAATTTAAGTTGATAATATTTTAAATTATATAATAGTTGTTTATGTTATTGATGTGATGGGCGTGTGATTAATAACTTTTAAATTGTCGTGCAAACCTTTGGCGTGTTTTTTTTTTAATTTTGGATTTTGGACTTAATCCTTCCATTTTTGCTGTGATGATAATAATATTGTTAAGCAGTTTGTATTTTGTACATTCTATAACAAAGCGCTCGACGTAAAAAATTATTATGTTGTATCAAACGAACTGATATTTAAAGGCATCAGCAGTTCTAATTTTGCTACTGTCAGATATAGTGTTTTTATGGTGCAGTAAAATAAAAAAAGTAAATCAACATCCTACGCTGTTCGAAATTCCTGCGTCAGTTTACAGTTAAACTAAGCAATAACTATATATGTACCAAAAACGTTGACCATGAATAAATACTGTATCATGAGATACGAGTTACCTTATAGCTGTTTGAAGGTTGACGAGTCCACGTCTCATGTCTGCTACGTCTTTGGAAGTGCCTTAAGTAGCCAATTTTTGGTTTCCACCCAAAAATTTGTAGTAGTGCATACATTTTGTACATTCGGCTTTGTGCCGACTGTCGAAATGATCGCATGTCCACTGTCCAGCTGCTTTGTAGATCGAAAAGATCCTTATACTCCCAAATGTACTGCAGCCATGTGGCATAAATTTCGAAATCAGTAAACGAAACTCCATATTTTATTGATCAAATTATCAGAAAAAGAGACCGATATTAGTATTGTACTTCTCATATTGTCGTTTACAAATTATGTGTGTTTATCAACCGTTTCTGGAAAAACTTGTCGAATGCTTAGTCCGACGTAATAAGAGTTCAAGAAATATTAATTTGTGATTTTGTATCTACTCAGGCTGATATCATGGGTACGAGGTATCAGATAGCGTGCAGGGTCGTGGGTAAAGTACAGATAGTTGTGTTTCGCAACGGATGGCACCTCCGTTTACCACCATCGACCCCACCATGCCCGCACTGGTCCACCGCCATTGACGGCATCTTCACATTGACCGCATTTACCGATGTTGTTGCCATTACGGTTAACGACGTTGATTACACTTTTTCCCGTAACTTCCTCGTTTACTGGCGACGTTCTGCGCGGAGGTAGGTGGCCATTTCCTGCAGTTTACAGGAGAGTAAAATCGTTGCGATGCGTGTGTCACTCACATAGCAAAATTTGCATCTTGAGTTTTGCAAAATTTGTTTTTCCGCACAATATTGGTAGAGATTAGTTCTGCCCGCTTGAGCACCGGCGCGTGGGCGACAATCACTATGGAGCGTTTCCGTCTCGAATTGTGGTGCTCGAGGGGGAAATCTTTTTATTCTTTTGCATTTTGGCTTTCATGCACTTTTAATGCACATTACATTGAGAAAGCATGTCTTAAAATTTACAAGCGTGGAAGTATTATGTTAATTAAGCGTTACTTTGATTTGTACTTGACCATCAATCGTTCGTGTGGGAATGCAATCAATCGGTATGTACTTAATTGGGTTTTTAGTGTATATGCACAATGTATTCGTATTTAATATAAGCCTTTATTTATGTAAGTAAGTATTTGTGCTCCTTTGTTAGCTCTGTTGCTGCGTAATTGTTAAAAGCAGCTTTTGGTTGGTTTTATTAAAGACAATTTTTAAATGCGAGGCAAGTACAGGTATATTTTGCGCTTGTTCATCCAGTTATATGGTGCAGTCTATCAGTCTTCTTCCAGTCAAACAACTCCGCAAATTGCACCCTGATAAAATTTGCTTAAACCAAGTAATCCCAGTTAAGCAGAACGACGCTGTTGTCGGCAAAGACTTTGACGCGCTTATCAGCACCATTCTTGGGGTCAAACCGAACACCGGCATGTTGGATCTTCAGATTCACTTCATCTTTCTTTCCAATAGCCGCCGTCAGCTTGTTGGATACATCGATGACCGCCACGATCTCCGCATAGCGATGCTGATAGGAGCGAGGGTGGAATCCGTTGATTTCGAAACCAAAGAAGACGGAGCTGTTCCTGGAGAAGCGCTGTTTGACCTTTTTAACGGCGTCCTCGATAGCGCGCGACATGGCTCCTTTGTCCGCTTGCATGTAATTGATGGGGAAGAAGCCGCTGTCGTAGTTGTCATCAGTGGTGCTATTTTCGTCGTTGGAGCATTTGATGCTGACCGGCTGGAAGTCGGGGTAGATATCAAATGCGCTAAAATTGCAGTAGTTATTCAATTTGGTCTCGGGAATCCCGGTCTCTTTAACGGCGCTGACAGTCCCGGCAAAAAGGCTGGCAACCACACAGGAAAAAACAACGACAATAGTGGACATGGTAAACAAGCAGTTATTACAGTAACGCAGTACAAACAGGACAGAATACAAAAACTCAGTAAAGAAAACTTACTAAGATTGCTGCTTTTATACCAGTGGAATGCTGAATGGAGCAAAGTTCATTCTTCTGTTCGAAGAAGACACACGGCTGAGTTTGCTGTTTGACATGTCTGATTGGCACTTGATAGTGCCCCTGGGCTCTAATAAAGGCAGATGTACTTGTCCGTGTCACCGGTTTATCAGGCGATTTCCGCGATTGAGACACTTGAAACGTCAGCAAAAAAAGTGGAGACGTACAAAACGATACAACGACTCCAGTGAAGTGAACTTGTCAATGAATCACTTGCAACCGATTTGGTTACCTCGTTTCTTAATGTACATACTTCAGACTTCAGAGAACTTGTTTTGAACGGATTCCCAGAACAATATGACGAAGAATCAACTGTGCTACGGCATGTTAGCGTGGGTTACATAGTGAGTTACACTTCCCTTTAGCGCTGCGCTGCTCATTAGTATTTTGCCGGTACCTTCGCATTATTTTAATTACCGGTAAACTCTTCAGCAACAGTAGCTGGAGATTGAGAATCATAGGTTGATTGACAGCAGGAGACTATAGATTCTTGCAGTGAACATGGCGACATGAAAATAGTAAATAGCTGCACAAACCCAGTGATCCAACTGACCAAAATAAATCCATACTATATCATAAAATCAAAAGGCTTCAACGAAGTAAAAACTTGATGCAAATACTTTCTGGCTTACTTAAGGGAGAATCAATGACAATTTACTCGAGGGTGTTCTATGATTTGGCGCTATATGCAACAGCGGAATGTAGGTAAGTACGCAAATTATGAAAGTGTCATCGTACATTTTATTTGTAACGACAACGTATACTTTACTTGTCACGCAGCTGTTCCCGCTGAACGTATTTGTTCAGATCTCCTATCACACTATGAAACGGTGACGAAAAGTTCTCTACATTACGTATACGAATGCAAGCATTTATGCATAAATATAATAATCTTTATGCATACTTTTGGAGATATGCAAATTCAGTACTTGGTTCGCTTTCCCTGCGATGCACACGCAGACAGACAGTAAAATAATAAAAAATGGCGGATAAACAAAAGTTGTGACTATCGACGCCGGCTGGTTGTAATCCGGATGTCCGGACATTGAAATGTTGTACATGATCGTATTATATGTCTGACAATTATATAATTAGGCAAGAGCCAACGATATTAATTATAGCCAAAATCTCGATGTAACGAGTCTGCCGAATGCGACGCAGCAACATACAGAAACCGAGACAAGCGGATGGCAATGAAGAGTTCCGGAAGAGGATTCATAAAAAGTAATGTATTAACATCCACAGTAAGGTATGCTGTGAAACAGTTTGAAATATATAATTTCGGCAGGGTGGAAAATTTGTATATTACAATGCCCGGTGTGGAAATACTAAGGACAAGCTGTGTCATCATGCACACCATATATAATGGTCTTTGACGAATTCAGCGTTTCTATTGCTTAGATTGCTAGCTGAGAGATTTTTGTAAATAATTAGTTAAGTCGTAATGCGAAAGCTGTTGGCCTCTCAAGCTGCTTTGACACAGTCGGAAAATGCATTGTTGCTCACGAAAAAATCTATCAGACTAAATGGCTCCAACAGCATTAAAGTTTCGTTAATTTTAAACGCAAAATAGTTGTACTGTATTATGGATTTGGGGTTACTGACGCCAGTTAACTTTATTTAGTTTAGTGAAGCAGTTTATATGCTGATGTAGTTTGCGGTTAATGAATGCCACTTTTGGCCAGTTTATCGCTTTAAGAAATCGACATGTCGAAGGTCTTTGTGAAGCCAAAACAATAAGTACGCCTCAGTACCTTAGTACCGTTGAAAAGTGATCAGTAGTAATTTTTACCTGACAGCGATCGTACAGATAACTTTAAGAAGCACGTTAAGCGATACGAGTACAAATATATCATGTATGTAAAGTGTATCGGTTAACGGACTAACTAAGAGCTCCAAACTTGTTGCCGGTTAATGCACCTAACCGATGAAAGACCAAAAAATGTTGCTTCATACCGGCGACCAGAAAACATATATTTAGTTATTACAAAAAAATTGAGAAAATGGGCATCAGGCCAGAATAATGTGAACGAATTCGTTTGTCTGGTTTTTAAGATCCCGTATTTTTTGCGATAGTCCCTGCCGACCACAGGTTGCTCAGACTGGACTTCCGACACTAGAGCTAAGGATCTCCTTCTCCGCTGCATGTTGGTCAGGATCATCGGAGCCTCAGTATTAGCAATACAAGTCAACGAGTGCACAAACTGCAGATTAATTTCTCGCATTAAACAGTATCACTCACTGCAGGCCTCCGAGGGCACACGTAAATGTTTGTCCATGAATGGTTTATGTATTTGTCTGACCATGAGTGCGCAAGCAGCAAGTTCGGACTGGCATCGGTGAAATTGTATAATTATACGGATCGGATAAGTCCAGAAATCATGCAGAAGCGTCTTGAAAAATATTTAAATTTAAAGCGGCAACAGTTATTCTGCAAACTCAGAGAGCAAATTCTGATGCGACAAGAGTGAATGAGTGGCGTTAGTTAAGAGTGGAGCCGGCACGCAAACGGATACTTAAAAATTTTAGCGAAGTGACACAGCTAGCGCTGATTTTGAGGCTCACGGTCAGTGATGTGCATGGAGATTTCACAGCGCATGCAGACATGACCAGCTGACGGCGCACCTTAACCTTATGCAAGCTTCTGTAATTTACTTGCTTGCCAAGGGCAAACCATTAGCAAAACAATAAATTGTGTTATAAATCAAACATGCCTGCTCAAAGTTATCGAAAATTTATTTTATGCAGCGGCTAACCAGTTATGGCATGCCTTGTCCATAAGTACATATTGATAGCTTGATACATACAACCAAGTGAATATTCTCAACGCGCCAGTCACCTTCCAGCGACGGCGCTGACACTACGGAAGAAATTAACCTAAACTACTCGCTGGAAAACTTATTGCCTAATTTCTGGCATCCTGGTTGGCGTTGTCTGGCTGTTGTTCGGGCGACCAGACCGTTATTTACTGGCTGCTGTAATATTCCATTATGGCTCGATTGCGTATCATTTTTGCTTCAACTATAGTTTTCTCTTGTCTGCTGTTTGCAGCGTCCGGTCAAGGTGAGCGAAATCATTTATGCATAAACAAAAATACTTAAAATACTTACAATAAAAAATACTTACATATATCCATATTTATTTAGTAGTTGGTTAATTTTTCTTGGTTTCTTTGTTTAAACAGATGCTGAAAATCAAACTGTACATGCAAACGGAAATCGCAGCGAATCGGTGTGCGATACACAAGCATGCAAAAGCGCTGGTAAACCACTGTAAATTATTGCGTAAGCACCAAACGGTAAACTTTTGCGGTTACCTTTTGCTCTTTGTTCGATTGGATTATAGCGAAGAAGATCTTGGAGCGAATAAACACCACAGCCGATCCATGTGACGATTTTTATCAGTATGCCTGTGGAAAATGGATATCAGATCATGAAATTTTTGATAATGAAACGCTTATCAATGATTTCTATTACTTAATGAAAAAGCTAGCACGAATCGGCCAAGGTATTTGATATTTCCTTTCTGCTTGTAGTGGTTCTTGTATCGAGGTTTGCGTAATATTACTGAATTCGCAGATTTACTGGATAACACCACAAAAGAACCGTTTCCGTCCGAAGTTACAATGAAACATTTGTACCGGCAGTGCAAAGACGATGGTATTTACGGCAGTTACACAACGCAAACACCCCAACCCAGAATTATGATATAATTTAATCGAACTTTTGCGTTATAACCTGGATATTACATATCAGAACGGAAGTAGTTACGAACACAAAACTTTTATACCATATGGATTATCAATTATTCGTTAATTTCATAATATGGATTTAGCGAATAATTAATAATCCATATATTATGTGATAATCCATATAGATAATATCGTTATCTAATCGGCTGCCCAGTACTTACCGTTGGTGCATTTTGTGATAGATTTCTAATTGTAAATCTTGATGTATTTTAATATAATAATTTAGAAACACTTTTTGACTTGGGGTATAGTTATACAATACGTACGAATAATTTACCAACACGAAGTCGGTGTTGCTAGACGAAATTGAGCGGCAAAGTGGTAAGCCGCTACTGGAATTCTTGAATAAACAGATGGGCGGATGGCCCATCCTTACTCCCAACTGGAATGCCTCCAATTTCGACATCTTCGACTCGCTAGTCAAGTTCTACTTCGCCGGCAGTCCACACTTTTTCGAGATCACTGTCGACCAGGACGTCGTTAATCCGTTGACCAATGTGATCTTTATTAAAGAACCAACGACCTTCGCCAGCGTAGACATATTGAGTAACCAGATCACAGGAAAACTGTACGTTGAAAGTTATTTACAACAATTATTCAACGTAACAACTTTACTGCTGCGAGAGAACAATCAGACTCATGTGGATGTCAACCAGTTGTCACCAAATCTCACGGATGTTGTCGCGACTGAAAAGTATCTCGCCATGGTGAGTTTTACGCAAAGGCAACTGATATGCAAAATAAATACCTGAATATCGAAATATCATCCAATGCTAATTGCTAAATATTGTAGGCTGGACTGTCCGCCATAGAGGCTCAGAACGACTCCATAAACCTGAACAAGATGACATTAGATGAATTTTCCAAACGAAATCAGTTCAACTCATCTATACTGAAGAACATAACGGAATATCTGAAGGCTTATTTCAAGGAAGCCAACATTACGGGCATCATCAACAATGATACTGTCGTGGTTGTGCCAAATTTATCATTTTGGTCCAAGCTAGACGCCAAATTCGCGGAGTTTGAGCAGCTGGGTGCGGAAGGAATGAAGCGCGCCGCTAACTATCTCGGCTGGAGAGGAATTCAACATGCGTTAAGATTTTTGTCCCGAGGTTACAGGCAAACCCGAGCAGAGTACGAGCAAAAGAGGACCGGTATGAAGGCCAAAAAGGAAACGCCACCTGGCGAGCGTTGTCTTTATGTCGTTGCGGAATCAATGCCTTTGACGATGGGAGCTCTCTTTGTGCGAGATATCATTCCTAAAGACCTTAAAGAAAAAGTACTATAAACCTCCATTAATTTCTTGCAATGTACAATAAGTTTTAATTTGACATTAGGCCACGCTTATGGTCAGCGACATTCAAACGGGTTTTAAAGAGCTACTGGACGCTGCCAGCTGGATGGACAACAACACACACGAAGCGGCACAAAAGAAATTGTCAGCGATGATTAACGAAGCCGCCTATCCGGACATTATGGTCAACAATATTTCCTTGATTGATTCGGAATACGCAAATGTAAAGTATTGTACATGCTCGATCAACAGCTGAGGGCGTAACGTAAGCGATGGTGAGAGCTACCTTGGCGGTAAGAACGACAGCCATTGGCCAGTGCATCCACTGCAGTTACTTAATGCAAATTGCAATGACTGATAGCTGATAGTATCGACTTTTGCCCAGCCACCGTCCACTAGTTGAATACATGTGTGTCACATTACAACACGTAACAACTGCTCCGTTACAAGGACAATAAACTTTCATTCATTCATTCCTTCATTAATTACATTATCACAATATGCATCACACATTTGTATCAGTACTACATGCTCGGGTTTGTTTGTAATTTTGTCGTTCCTCTCCCTTCCTCAGATGCATGATGAATGTAACGCGTAAACGACGTGATGCGGCGCGCGACATTGTACGCGCCGTTTGGGAGCTTGTGTAAACCGTAAATTTGTGTTTCCCACTCTAGACATATGCGTCCTCAATTGTTGATCAGGCTGGTATATAAGTATCCCCTCCTGAGAAAACCTTCAGAATAAGATGAGATAACGGTTATTCTAATTTTATGTAGATCGCCATTCAAAGCAGTTATGCAGCATCCATGATGGAGATAGCCAAAAATCAGATTGTTCGCAGCCTGAAGCGTATATTGAAAGCAAATGTACGCTATGACCCGGTCAAGGACACCGGCGATATCACCGAAGTGAACGCGTTTTATAATCCGAATATGAATGGTTTAAGTACGTAGCGTGCAGGTATTTAGGGAGCTTATCGAACTGCCATACCAAAGCACCTGTCCAGAGTTAATAGTTCATGATATTTTATTGCCTAAGCGGCTAAGCCTAACTGCAGATGCAAACAGTCTGTATGTAGTCTCTGTAACTGTGTCTTTAAACGCATTTTGGTTGTAGTTATAAATGCAGCCGTTTTGCAACCGCCTTTCTATGATCCAGAAAGCCCGGAGTATTACAATTATGGCGGCATAGGTGTGGTAATTGGCCATGAAACAACGCACGGATTTGACAGCACCGGAGCGAACTACGACGATCAAGGGGCGCGGCGGTCATGGTGGACGGACAGTACGAAAGAAGCGTACGACATCCGCACAAAGGGCATGACAGCGCAGTACGATAATTATACCACGGCGGTTGGACGGATGAATGGGCAACTGACACTAGGAGAAAACATTGCTGACAACGGCGGTACGAGGGCAGCGTACAAGGTCAGCCGCCCCTCAATTTGAATGTCTTATATCAGAATAGAGATTAAAGCTTGTATGTTGCACTGAATGGCAGGGTTACCTTCGACACCTAAGCAGGCTAACGAAGCCTGAAGCCGTTGCCGCTGATTTGGCTCGCTACACTCCACAGCAGTTGTTCTTCCTCTCGTTTGGACAGGTATTTCGAGTTTCAAATTCCGGACATGTCACATGAGTATCTTATTCAGCCTAATGTTGTATCGTCTTAATTTTTTGGGACTTTTTAAAGTATAAATTAATGTACTTGATAGTTGACACTTGTAATCTAGTTATGTCATAGGTTTGGTGCGAAAAGGCCAGACCAGAGTCATCTCGCATCAAGCTCCTCAGAGATGTGCACTCACCGGCAGAATGGAGAGTCAACGGAGTCGTCTCCAACATGGAGGAGTTTTCGGAAGCATTCAACTGCTCAGTCGGTGCTAGAATGAATCCTCGCAATAAGCAGACCGTTTGGTAATACCCGATCTGAAATTAGTGGATAAAACCGTTCACGGTAGCAACATCGAATTTTAAACTGACTTATCAAACGGCTTGAGCATAGATGTTGTGACGCGCAACACAGCAAGTGTGCAGCAAAATGTTACGTTGAACTTTGTTTCCGATGTAGTCTTTAGTTAGAGCTTCCCCCTTAATGTTGATGCTTGCGATTGTATTGATTCAGCTGCTGTGCTTGCAAATTGGAGTTCAAATAATAAATCTCTCAGTAAAATATCATTGGAAGAGCAATGGATGGAATTACGGTTTGTCCGCGTTCACCTTTGGTGACACAATCATTATGATTGGCAAATCGCCCCTCTTAGATTAATAAACATGTAGAAAGCATTGCAGTTGCGCATGCAGAGTAACGAAGCAGAAAAGTAGCGGCAGAATGGGAATATCCACTGTTGATTTCGGGTCCACAAGAAATGGACAAGGACAATCAGAGACCGCTAGACCACTCAGAACAACAGCTTTAAGATCTTTGACTCTTTAATTACCAGTGACTGTCTGGTTGCACTACGAGTATACGGCGGCCGGGAAATCCCTAGAACCATCCACGGCATTATCATAGTTTCCGGAAACCTCCGACTCTGACAGTACAGGTGCAACAACTCCGGTCTACTACAGAATTTTTAGATAGAATTAGCAAAGCTAATTCCGGTTAACGCAGCGGAGGTGATGGCAATGCCGGACGACTTGACTGGCCAGTGTCTAGCCGAGAAGAGCCATTAGGGTGCATACGTTGGGATGTACATCCCGATACTGTAGAAGCAATGCATCGTTGATGGTGGATGTGGCATAGCAATTGTGCATCTGCGTTTTAGTAAATGTCAGTTGCGGTTGTGTTAAAGCAAAATTGCTTTACATGTAAGAAGTCGTTCTTCCCACTGACCCCCCTCTTTTGCGAGGAGATGAGGGTTGTCTTTGAAAGGACGACAGGGCCGGTAACCCTTGTCCCGGTGATAGTGCCTACACCCAATGCCCGAATGAAGTTAAATCGTTACGCGTTTGTACCTGTTGCCGCCGTATACGTAGTCCGCGTTAATTTACAGATAACATTTGACTAGAGGTCTGCAGTGGTGGTCTGAACATTTTACTTAACCGGAAAAGCCGTTTTAACGCTATTGCAGCATTTGGTTGAATTTTGATTCGATACCTGTAAATGCCTGGCGTTAATGGAAAGAGGAGCTGGTAAACCAAACGGATAATTAATTTTACTGAAATTGCACCGCTGGCGCAAGTTATTCTGATGATCGATATTATTTTTGTTGTACTGCTCACATGCTCATATGCAGACAAAACGCGCTGTATATTTTGCAGAGTCTAACCAGTTATGACTTGTCCATGTTGCCAGCTTAATGCTGTCAAGTAATGATGTTCAATGCGCCAATCACCTTCCAGCGACGGCGCTGACACAAACGGAAAACGAAAACGTAGACTACCTACGGTGCTACACTATGAAAAACGTATTGCATGTAAATAATTTCTAGCATCGTGGTGATGTCGATGCTGTCTACCTAATGTTCCCGCTACCAGACCGGTATCTACTGCGTTGTGATATCCCATCATGCTTCGATTGCGTATTATGTCTTCAACGGCCACAATTTTCTGTTCTCTGCTGTTTTCACCGTCCACCATAGGTAAGCCAATTAGTGCGCTACACCCTCAATAAAAATATCAATGGAAAATGATAAAAATTAATTAGTGGATTAATTTTTGCTTGGTTTAAGTAGATGCTGGAAATCGAACTGAACAGGCAAACGGAAATCGTAACGAATCGACCAATTCAGTGTGCGATACACAAGCATGCAAAAACGCTGGTAAACGGCTACTGTATAGTTACGAGTATATACCGCAAACTTTGCAGTGTCGCCTTACTGTCTGGATTGCAGCGAAGAAGATCTTGGAGCGTATCAACACCTCAACCGATCCATGTGACGACTTCTATCAACACGCCTGCGGAAAATGGATACAGAATCATGAGATTCTCGACAATGAAACTCTCGTCGATGAATTTTATTATTTACAGAAAAAACTGGAGAAAATCGGTCAAAGTATGTCCTTTTTTGCGTTTTCTAGCTCTTTAAACAGTTCACCGGAATATTCTCAAAATCGCAGGTTTGCTGGATAACGTCACAAAAGACCCGTTTCCGTCGGAAGTCAAAATAAAACACTTGTACCGGCAGTGCAAAGACGAAGGTACTTGCAATTGTAATAAGTTACAAAAAGGCACAAAATGAAATTCATATTTGTAATTCTGTTTCGGTTACGCTAGATCATATTGAGCGGCAAAGTGGTACGCCGGTGCTTGATTTCCTGAATAAGCACATGGGCGGTTGGCCCGTTCTTACTGATGAGTGGAACGCTTCCAATTTCGATATCTTCAACGCATTAGTTAACGTTCACTTCGCTGGCAGTTCCCCCTTTTTCGAAATTATCGTTGACTATGATGTCGTCAGTCCGTTGACCAACGTGATTTATATTACCGAACCGGCGACCTTCGCCGGTGTAGACATATTGAACAACGAAATCACAGGAAAACTGCACATCGAAAGTTATTTACAACAACTGATGAACGTAACAACTTTACTTCTGCAAGAGACAAACAAGTCACATGTGGATGTTAATCAGTTGTCACCCAATCTCACGGATATTGTCGCGACTGAAAAGTATCTCGCCATGGTGAGTTTTACGCAAAGGCAACTGATATGCAAACTGCAAAATGCCAATACCACTTTAATATTATGTTAGTGCTGCATGATTGTTAATGTTAATAATATTGTTGTAGGCCGGACTATCCGCCATGGATGCTCAAAATGACTCCATATATCTGAACAAGATGACACTAAGTGAATTTTACCAGCGAAACCAATTCAACTCTTCCTTGATGAAGAACATGACGGAATACATGCAGGCTTACTTCAAGGAAGCCAACATTACGGGCATCATCCACAATGATACTGTCGTGGTTGTGCCAAATTTGTCATTGTGGTCCAAGCTGGACGCCAAATTTGCGGAGTTCGAGCAGCAAGGCGCGGAAGGAATGAAGCGCGTGGCTAATTATATTGGTTGGAGAGGCATACAGCATGCACTGAGGTACTTGTCCCTTAATTATAGAAGAACCCAAGCAGAGTACGAACAGAAGACCACCGGTAGAAAAGTTAAAGAGGAACCGCCAGCTGGCGAGCGTTGTCTCGATATCGCTACGGAATCTATGCCTTTGACGATGGGGGCACTCTTTGTTCGAGATACCGTTCCTAAAGACCTTAAAGAAAAAGTACTGCAACTTTCCATCCACGTAATATGCACAGTACTGCACTTACATTTTAAAGTGCTGCCATTGTTGTTGCAGGCCACTTTGATGGTCAACGACATTCAAATGGGATTCAAGGAGCTCCTGGACGCTGCCAGCTGGATGGACAACGCCACACATAATGCAGCACAAAAGAAACTGTCAGCTATGATTAACGAAGCCGCCTACCCAGACATTATGGTCAACAATATCTCGTTGATTGATTCGAAATACGCAAATGTAAAGTATTACAGAAGCTCGATTAGCAGTTGAGGATGTCAGGGAATAGGTAATGCAAACTGAGCGCGTTCAAGGGACTAAGCTAAGAACAATGGTCACTACACCACAAGTAATTTGCAATACTATGCACTGTCAATGTTCGTCTTCTACCACCCATGACAATGCGTAACGCATTGCGTTACGCATATGACGTATAAACAGAGTGGCGCCGCGCCGTGGTAATTAAACCGTAAATGCTGGCGTAAACCAGGAGTATGTATTTTGTGCCCGAGCCCGCACTGTCCTCAATTGTTGCTCGGGCTGGTGCATTTGTACTACAACATATCAGTAACCGAGCGAAATGTGAGTTTTATAAGAGTTTATTCTAGATCGCCATTCAAAAGAGTTACGCAGCGTCCATGATGGAGATTGCCAAAAATCTGATTGTTCGCAATCTGAAGCTAACCTTGAAAGCAAACTTGCGTTATGACCCGGTCAAGGACACCGGTGATATCACAGAAGTGAATACATTTTACAGTTCGAACATGAATGGTTTAAGTAAGTGGCGTGTAGCAGTTTAGTGAGCTTATTTAACCGGCTTAAAATTATTAATAATATTTCATGGCTTTCGTCTTTAAATTATGAATAATAATTATTTCATGGCTTTCTGTCGCCGATTTGAACATACTACGTATGAGTGCCGTTAAATACTCTCCGGTTGGTAGTTATTAATGCTGCGATTTTGCAACCACCGTTCTACGACCCAGAAAGCCCAGAGTACTACAATTACGGGGGCATCGGTGTGCTTATTGGCCATGAAACAACGCACGGCTTTGACAACACCGGAGGGAACTACGACGATCAAGGCGTGCGACGGTCATGGTGGACGAACAGTACGAAGGCGGCGTATGACATTCGCACAAAGGGACTGGCGGCACAGTACGATAATTACACCACGGCGGTCGGACGGATGAATGGGCAGCTGACACTAGCGAAGAATATCGCTGACAACGGTGGCACCAGAGCAGCATACAAAGTCAGGCGCTGCTCAGTGATAGTGAATTTATTAATGATATTCAATAATTGTGCATTCAGTTATAATGAATTGCAGGGATACCTTCGACACTTAAGCAGGTTAAGAAAGCCGGAACCTGTTGCCGCCGAATTGGCTCATTACTCTCCGAAACAGCTGTTTTTCTTGTCGCTTGCTCAGGTACGGTAAGTCATTAGCACTCAGCCACTTCGCTACCGGTAGCGTATTCACGTGCCCGAGGCATATTAGGCTCTGTTCTAACCACGGTTGGCGTAGCGCGCAATTCTTTAAAGGTATCGGTCGCGCTAGTACGCGACCAGTTGGCAGTTGCGTTTCAGGTATAGAATTATGGCTGAGCAATAATTATTTGAATATGTACAGCCGTACAGGGTACATAATTTGAATAATTACGGTAAAAGGATAGACATCCTAAAATAAAGAGGTATTGGCCGCGCTGCGCGGAACCAGTTAAATATACTGACAGCAGGGTTAAAAGCTGTAAAAAACACAGAAAGAAGTTTAAAATGAAATATTACCTACAAAATATTAACATATAATAATATTAACTACAAAATATTAAATGAATTTATCTACATATCTACATGCATTTATCTACATGAATTTATCTACATATTGCTAAGCACTATCCATAAAGCATAGCAAAATTGTGGTGGTAAGATTATTATGTGTGACAATATGTTATGCGTGACATTTCTGCAACTTTGTAAAATATCTCAACTGTCACAACAGTAAATTTTAAAATTTTTTCTGCATCTCAGGCTAATCAAACTATTTTAAAACCATTCAAGGCAACTTATCATTAGACATCAAACCTAGTATTTTAAAAACTTTAATGACTTCAAACGCTGAATCTGTTATGAGTTGATTTTTCTGAAAGAAGACGTAGCGACTTCTGCAGGTGTGACTAAGTACTTCCGCTTCGTGTATTCTGAAGCCGGACAAACCTTATATATTACTGAATTAGTGTTACTTTGCCGTATTTCATTATTTTACTTGTCTATCTTCCATAAAGATGCACCTTGTGTATCGATTTTTGCATAGGTGTGGTGCGAAAAGGCCAGACCAGAGGCAAAGCGTATCAACCTCCTGACTGATGAGCACTCACCGGCAGAATGGAGAGTCAACGGCGTGGTCTCCAACATGGTGGAGTTTTCGGAAGCGTTCAACTGCTCAGTCGGTGCTAGGATGAATCCTCGCGACAAGCAGACTGTTTGGTAGTATCGGGCACGAGATTAATGGTTATTAATCGATCACGGTTGCACGTGGAACATCCATTTGATTAATACTGAGCAGTTTGAGCGGTTACGTTATGACGCGCGATAGCAAGTGTGCAGCAAAATTTTACGTCAAGTTTCTTTTCCGATGGAGTGTTTAAAGTTTTAAGTTTTATTTGGCATTGCCATTATCTGGCATCGCGGGTACCGAATAACTCTGAGAAATATAAGAACTAAGGCCACCTACATCCTTACTATTAAAAGAAGAACTACCCATGGGAAGATCAATAAAAGCTATCTTAACTCGCAGCAGCAACCAACAGATTCTACATATTAATTGGCGACTGAGAAAGTCAAATCAGGCCTAAATAATCAAACATTTAATGCACTCGCAGGATTTGCAATATCTCAGGTTTTATACCTGCACTACCGATACAATCATACAAGTACAAATACCTGCAGGTTGCAGCTTACTCAATGTTGATTTTCAGCGTCTTAATTTTTCAATTATATTAGTTTTTTCGAAGTTTGATAGCACACATGCTGACAAAAAGCACGAACAGTGTATGACTGATGGTGCAACTCACCTTATGCAAAAGTTCTGTTAACTGGTTTGCTTAGCTAAAGGCAAATCATTAGGCGATGATTGAATTGTGCAACAGATTAAATTGTGTCAGCTCAAAGTCTCTGCAAATTAATTTTATCCAGCGGCTAACCAGTTATTACTTGTCCATATTGTAGCTTAGTACTGTCAATTAATCTTGCTCAATGCGCCGATCACCTTCTAGCTACGGCGCAGACACACGCGGACGAGGAAGACTGAGACTGCTCTCTGAAAAACTTATTGCAGGTGAATCATTTCTAGAATTTCGGTGATGCTGTCTGCCTGTTGTCTACCTGACCGTTGTTTATCTTTTGTGATATCCTATCATGCTTCGATGGCGTATTGTTTTTGCATCGGCCACAATTTTCTGTTTTCCGCTGTTTTCAGCGTCCGCCGAAGGTAAGCTGCAATTTATACGCTAACCATAAAATAAAAATACCCATGAATAGTCATCAAAATTAATCAGTAGGCCGTTTAATTTTTGCTTGGTTTCAGCAGATGCAGGAAATGCAACTGAACAGGGAAACGGAAATCGTACCGAATCGACCAATTCGGTGTGTGATACACAAGCTTGCAAAAACGCTGGTTAGCCGTTATAATTATTTTCCGCAAGCTTTGCGTTTACACATGATTGTCTCTTTGTCTGGATTGCAGCAAAGAAGATCCTGGAGCGTATTAACACCACAGCCGACCCGTGTGATGACTTCTATCAACACGCCTGCGGAAATTGGATGCAGAATCACGAGATTCTCGACAATGAGACCCTCGTCGATGAATTTTACTATTTACAGAAAAAACTGGAGAAAATCGGTCAAAGTAAATATGTCCTTTTTTTGCGTTTTCTAGCACTTTAAACAGTTCACCGGAATATTCTCAAAATCGCAGATTTGCTGGATAACGTCACAAAAGACCCGTTTCCGTCGGAAGTCAAAATGAAACACTTGTACCGGCAGTGCAAAGACGAAGGTAGTAAATTACTTACCAAACGCATAAATGTGATCTCGTGTTTCACTAGACCAAATTGAGCGGCAAAGTGGCAAGCCGCTGATCGGTTTCCTGGACAAATACAGTACATGGGCGGATGGCCAATTCTCACTCCCAACTGGAATGGTTCCAGTTTCGACATCTTTAACGCGCTCGTCAAATTTCACTTCGCCGGCAGCGCGCACTTTTTCGAAATTCTCGTTTACAAGGATGTCGTCAATCCGTTGACCAACGAGATCGTCCTTGCCGAACCGACGACCTTCGCCACTGTCGACTTATTGGCGAATGAAATCACGGGAAAATTATATTGAGAGTTATTTACAACTACTGTTGAACGTAACATCTTTACTGCTGCGAGAGACGAAGCAGACGAGTGTGGATGTCAACCAATTGTCACCGAATCTCACGGATATTGTCGCGACTGAAAAGTATTTTGCCATGGTAAAGTTTTGTGGAAAAAAATAATTCCAGTACCGAATTATTATTGTAATGTTGTTGCTAATAATTGCAGGCTGGACTGTCCGCAGTAGATTCTCAGAACGATACCATATTTCTGAACAAAATGACGCTACGTGAATTTGCCCAACGATACCAGTTCAACTCTTCCTTAATGAAGAATATGACGGAATATCTGAAGGCTTATTTCAATGAAGCCAACATTGCGGGTGTCATCCACAACGATACTGTCGTGGTTGTACCAAATTTGTCATTTTGGGCCATGCTGGACGCCAAATTCGCGGAGTTTGAAAAACAGGGCGCGGAAGGGATGAAACGCGCGGCCAATTATATCGGCTGGAGAGGCATACAACATGCGCTGAAATATTTGTCCCTTGATTACAGAAGAACCCAAGCTGAGTTTGAACAGAAGTCCACGGGTAGAAAAGCTAAAGAGGAACCACCAGCTGGCGAGCGTTGTCTCCGTGTCATTCGGAATCTATGCCTCTGACGATGGGCGCAATCTTCGTTCGGGATATCGTTCCGAAACTTCTTAAACAAAAAGTATTGCTAATTTTCGTCTATGTATACATTATGCAGTTAGATTTTGTGACAGCAGGCGAACAAAGGCTCACGATAGTGAGAGAAGGCTTTATTGTGATAGCAATAAAGTACAGAAAACCCAAACACAAAGGCTCGATGTGAGCTGTAGAGTAGAAATCATCGAATGTCAGCTAGTGAATGAAAATGAACGGCACATCGAGCCGTAACATGGGAAAAAGCCTAATGCGGCACTGGGCAGATCCAACGCGAGCGAACGAACGCTGATAGGCCGAGATGTGGAAAGGAGGCGTGGCTCCGCCTACATCGAGGCCGATGATTGGCCGAGACGAAAGGCTGGGCGGAAAGCTGCCTGAGTCGAGGCCGATCTAGCGCTCGACAGCGAGTGCGACTCGGTGTGAGTCAACACACCGGAAGCGGGACTGTCGCTGGCTGCCTACTCGTAGGCTGCCATAGCGACTGGCCCAACATGCCTCTGGGCGGGAGTCCAAGCCCCTGCGAAGGACCGGCCTCGTACCGCTCCAGTGCCCGCTCCGCACACGACCCTATTGGGGTCGGTGGCTGCGCCTCGGGGGTGTCCGATGACGAAGGTCTCTCGGTGCCGCGTTCTCCTCCGGACCCGTGGTGGCGATACAACTCACGGCCGAAATCCGAAGGTCGGTCGGTGGTGTTGTTGGACCGGTGTAGGCATCTGTTGGTCGTATCCGTAACGGCGAAAAGTAAAAAAAAATAAAGTATTATTCCATCTCTCTCTCTAGTAAAATAACATCACAATTCCTGGTGAGCAGGTTGGTGAAAAGATCGATAAAATTGAGAACATCATTTCGAGATTAGAAAAAGTAAACTCAAAGTCTTTGGTCCGGGGCTTTTGGTCCGGGTGCTCATTCCGACTAGAGCTGATCCGCTCACGGGGGCTCCAGTCCACAGGATATCCGGCCATCTAGGTCCGAGGCATCGGTTCTCGGGATACCCAGTGGTACCGGTTCACTTCACCGAGGGTCGGAGGTTCGACCCTCGAGGGTCAAAGGTTCGACCCTATCAGCTTCGGGTAAAGGGTATGAATCTCCGTTGTCGGGTGTGAAACGGGCGTGAAACACACTTTCCGACCGGGATCCTCCGGTAAAAGCTTGATTAGAACCATCATAGCCGGGTGAAACAAGTTCGCACTTGCATCCAGCCGAGGTTCATCGGGTAAGGTTAATGGAGAGGCACTGTCGCAGTCGCGAATACCGTAAGGTACCCTCTCTAGGTGCAGGATAAGACCTATTGGGTCTATTGAGCGGTGGATCCTCCGGGGAAGTCCGGTGATCCGAGGTTCCATCCGGGCAAAAACCGTAATTTTGTATCCTGTCGCCTATTGGGCAACAAGGACCGGTTAACGCCTGGTCTCCATAGGGTTGAATGGTCGATGGACGTGGTTTACACTGCACCGTGCAGTGTAAACCACGTTCTGGTCCGAATGATGATATGGCCTCTGTACGGGAGTCCGACCCTGTATCCGGTTGGCTTTAAGGTTTTGAAGTCCGATGGTAGCCTCGGTAACCGAGGGTCAGCTCCGGTTGTGAAGTCAGAGTCCAAGCTCAGCCTCGGTTGCTGAGTCTAAGTCCATTGGCAGCCTCGGTACTCAAGTTAAAGTCCAGGGTGTACCCTCGGCTGCACTGGCAAATGGGTACGGAGTCGTCCCGCTCGGCTGGAAATCCTGAATTCGTCTCCTGTCACCTATTGGGTAACTCGGAGGGGATGATCGCCGAGGTTCGAAGGGTCCGAGGGTCCGAGCCTGAGGGTCGGAGGTTCAAGCCTCGGTATCCGGGGGTCCGATGGTCATTCCATCCCGGCAAAACCCTTATTCGCGGTGTAGGTCGCCTATTGGGCAACTCTACCGAGTGTCTTACCGGTAAGGTAAAGTTGCTATCCGGGGCAGCCTCCGTGTCCGGGGTAGCCTCGGTGGTGAGGTAGTCAGCATCCGCTAAGGCTGGTCCAAAGGCATTCTGCCCGGGCAAAAACCCTTTTTAATGTCTCCCGTCACCTATTGGGTAACATGGAGAGGGTCTATGCCTCTGGACAGGGTCCGAACAAGTGTCCGAGGGTCAATCGGCCTCAGTGTCCGGGGGTCCGAGCCTCGGTAACGAGACTGGCCCAACATGCTCTGGTGGGAGTCCGCTTGATGCTGGGAGATGTCCACCGGGTGACTAGCAAAAATCATGCGAAAGAGGCTCCTCGGCGGCTATTTAAGACCTAATTGGGTCTAAGCCACGAGGTAGACACTCTAAGTTTTAAGGACGGAGTCCAAGCTGGTCCGTTCCTCGGCTGGTCCCGTGCTTCCACTTAGGCGGAAACACCCGGGATGCCGGAATATGGGGCTAAAGGCCTATTGGGCCTGTTGGCGTAGTTATGGACGTCCGTGGCCTCCTTCTGAGCGTGCAGTCGTGCCGGACTCATGAATCCTCTGCCGGGCTGTTATAGCTCTTCAGGGGACTCATGAGTGCCCTAACGTCCTGGTGCATCCTTCCGGTGACCACGGTCCGATTCGCGGTGAAATGGTCATGCCGGTCACTCATACCATTACTCCAACACAGCGTTGTGCGTAGGGGTGAGGGCATGAGTGTGCCCTAATGTCCCACTTCTTCCGTTCCGTTCCGGGAGTGGAAGGGAGGCCTATTGGGCCTCGATGGGCATCCACGGTGAGGTGGAGATCGTGGTTGATCCGCGCCACTTGACATGGTAACAGGTCGTGGTTGTACGCGATCTGCGAAGGCTTACATCCTCCGAGGGTCCTTCTGCCGGAGTGAGAAGCCGGGGATGTTGAACGTATCTCGCTCGACATTCTAGGCTTCTCATTTGTCGTACGACGGATTCCGCCGGAGTTACGCTGCCGAGGCCTATTGGGCACTCACACTGACTTCAAGTGGGGGTCAGTCAGCTATTACTCCGATTCCCGGGGTGTCCATGGGTCTGTTGGCAAACACGTTGCTGAAGATTGCAGTGGCTTCTTCGGGAACATGTTAGCGGAATCCTCCTGGATTAGGTTCCGGAAATTAGTCATACGGGTTCACTGACCGAGGGGGTATTTCTTCCGAGGTCGGCGTAATCCGTACTCCATTAAAGGTTCAAGTCGTGCGGATCGGGTTGTCAGGAGATATGGCTTCCTGTACCACACGGTCCGCATTCGGTTAAGGAATGGGAGCCTATTGGGCTCGGAGGGTTAGAGTTACGGAACTGTCGGTCCACCGGGTCCTTCTGCCGGCTGGGTGCGAGCAGGAGTACCCGGCAGATCATGCTGGGAACTTCTGTCCGACCTCCTTACGTGCGAAGGGTCCGATACTGAGGCTGTCACCAGGGCCTTGCTGATATAGGACGTTTTTCGCTGCCTATGTCCACGAGGTCCCGGCTGGTAAGGTTCGAGGGTAAGAGCCTATTGGGCTCTACAGTCCAAGTTACGGAACTGATCAGCCGGGAGTCCTCTGTCGGAGGGACCTGAACAGGGACAACTGTGTTGTGCGCAGTTGTGCTTGTCCAGTCGCTATTCGTACGATTCGTCCCGGTGTGACGTCCCTTGGTTCACACTTTTTATCCGGGGGTCAGCCTCCAGGATCCTTCTGCCGGAGGGGCTGATCAACGACGAACAGTGTTTGCACAGTTCGCTGCTAACCGGCCGCTATTTGTGCGTTTTTTCCCGGTGAACTGAGGTTTTTCTTCGGGTTCGACCCTTCTAGTCAGAGGGTCGGGGGGTTTGGACATCGGGGTATCCCTATTGGGGTCTACTCCCTAAGTCAATGGTGGGTCGGGATTCTACCACGCCCTATGATGTTCCCTTTTAGCTCCGGGGATAGCAGGTCGGCGGGGTCGCTGATCCAGCTGGAGCCAGCTAACCGTCGGGGGTCGGCTAACCCTTTAGTTCGGTTGCATCCCCTCGCATCCCCAGGAGGTACTTGAAGAAGCTCAAGTGGCCGAAGATGAAGCACATAAGGACATCCTCGACAGGATCGCTGAAGGACGGGCAGAACCGGTCAAATCGACCAAACCAACAAAGAAGCCCAAAACACCAAAACCCACCACACCACAAACATAGGGCCATAGTTAACCTAGAATAAGTTAGGGCTTAGCTAGGACATAGTTAAGAATGGACCTTTGGTGTCGGAATGGGACCTCTTCAGTTGTGCATGGAACCTTCAGTTGAACTTATTTGGCCTTATCAGAATGTTAACGAGCCGTATCTCCTTTATCCCAATAGCCTCTCATAACGATGTCTGACCGACGACGAGACCCTCCGTCGAGTGGATCGAACAGCAGCCGACGCGACAACCGACGATCTCAGCCGTTCCCGCACGACCGATCGGGCTCCCGAGCTGAAACGCGTTCGGCCACCCAAACTCCAATCCCACAGGTAACAAATCCGCATGCGAACGTAGCGGCTGATTCTTTGGCAGGTTTAACGGTCGGGTCACGGATGGTCACTCAACCCCGGACGATCCCCCTCCAGACCTTGCCACCGGGCACTATGCTCGACGACACCGGACTTTTGGTGAATGTGAGCGCGGCCACCGGTCAGAACGCACCGGCAGTACCGATTGGCCCAATAGGTCAGATCCGCCCGCCACTTGTACCGGGACCATTCATCCCCGGACCAGTCATACCACCGACGCTACCATACATCCCGATTACGGTAACGAGCATCCAGCCGGCCCCAATAGGGCCGCTGATGACTCAAGCCGGGATGAACCCCATGCCGAACCAAATGTTCGCCATGTTCACCCAATGGTGCAACCAGATGGGTATGAACCAGCCACAAGGCGGCGCGGTCAACCCTCTGATGGGATACCCCATAGTTACTGGACCCATGGGAGCCTCGCAGCAGGCGACCTTACCGGCGGCGCCACGACAGGACGGCACAAATATGCCTCCGGTGGTATTAGCGACGGCTCGGTCGGAACGTCAACGGACACCATCCCCGTTCACTCGATACTACGAGGATGGAACGAAGGCCTTTTCGGTTCATATGCTGAAAAGACCGAAGCCTCCGACATCATCGACGGAGGCAGCCTCGGCTCAACCGACAGCCGAACCCTTGATACCCGGACCTTCCACAGCCAGACCTTCGGCAGCCGCAATTACGGT